GCCAGTTACCGTACATATTCGCCATACTAGTTGGGGTGGAAGATTAAAAGCAACATGCAACATTTTGCCACACCAACGTCAAAATAAGATGATGAATCGCTATGAAGTTTGCCACACTAACTTTAGAATAGCTATGACTTGTAAAGTTGATTTAATGAAACTTTATTGCCGGCCGACTGAAATGTTTAAGCCGACTGAAAAGTTCGGTAGTTCATGTATTTATGTGTCCTATCTTCAAACTGAGCCACAGTACATACACTGTATGCTTGCGAGTACGAAAGCCCCAGCTTATACTAGTGACACAGTGCCGGGCCGGGCCAGGCCAAGGAACCAAATTACGTGGGGTGGGGGTGTGCCCAGAGGTATAAATAATCGAGGAAAAGCGCAATGAGAAAAAAAAGGCGGATCAGAATAAATAAGCACGCAGGATCTACAGCCGCAGCTCAGTACACTTTTACATTATTGCTCCGACCCGGCCCGGGCGATCGAGTACACGCATACCATATCGTCCCTTCGACGCTACCGGCTGGACCGTCGGATCGCGTGATCGGTCGGTTAACAGTGTCACGGCTTGCAGGAGAGTATCTGGCTTTCTTCCCTGCCCCCGAATCCGCCGTCGAGCTAGCTACATGCCTCGATCTTTGTCGTTGGTGCATGCGCTCGCCTGTGCTTGCATGGTCCATGGCTGCCCGCGAAAGCTCGAACTGATGGCGGCTTTTGCTCTGCGCCAGCAGTGATCGAGAAAAAAGATGAAGCGAAGCCTCGATACTTGACGGCACGCGTGTGCCGAATCCATCAGTCGAGATGCCCATGCGTGCATGCAGCGATCGATCAAATCGAGAGAGATGATGCATGCATCGAGCTGATTAGCGGCTGATCGAGAGAGGCAAGCAAAGGACGAAGAGAGAAATCGACGGCCGCGCGCCGTTGATCCCTTCTACTATACGTGCCGTGCGTGTGCATGCCCTGTCCCGTGAAAGAAACTGTCAAGCCGACCGGCATGCAGCAGCAACTGTGAACATGATCGATGTTCCGCAGGCAACAACCTTGTATTGAAAGCCATAAAGACTGGGAGGAGCGAACTGGGACCTGTTGCTATTACCTACGATTCTCTCTGCTGCCATGAACCTACACCTGCAGCTGCACATTTAGATCGATTAGATCGATCATCTGATTCGTGAAGTGAAGCAGAAGAAAAGCATCTACCCTAGGCTAGCATGCATGGACGGAGACACAACATATGGCATGAACGTGGTGTGTGCAGTGCAGCAGGATGGTCAAAAGCTATTCTTTCCCGCAAAGCCAAACAGCGCTTCTGGCCTATCGAAAGGTTGGGGCGCAGCGGCATGTCACCGGCCTGCTGCTAGACTCTTCCTTCTTAGCTAGCTATAGCCACACACACCACACCACACACCACGCAGGCTGAGCTTTCACCGAGTGGTACCGTGTGTGCTCCAAAGAGCAGACACAAGCTAGGCTTCAGATGAGCAAACCTATCGCAGTTAAGATGAGAATGGCAGTTTTTAAGGCACTGCTGCTGGCTATGGACAACTGGCAAGTGGCCCTCAAAATTATGTGTATTGGCACTTGGCGGTAGTGTTTTCGGGGAATATATATGGGCAGAAATGCTATAACTGCGTCACGTACGTAGAGAGTTTCGCGCTTGGCTATTTATGATAGGATGTGCATATTGTTGACGAGCTTGATCCAATGAGGAAAACCCATCATTTCCAATCATGACCTAATCATGGCGTTACGGCCGTCGACACTTCTGAATTGTGTGACCTGAGAGGTTACATCATCTGTACACTGGCACTCCACTGCAAAACTGATAAAAAGGTCGCATCCATGTACATATGCAAGATAGCACGACTTTTTATGCATATTCTGTCAAAGGGTAGTATTCCGACGAAGGGAAACATTTCAGTCCGAATACTACCCTTTGAATGCACGGACGAAGGGTAGATACTCTATTTTCTAACACAGTACAGATGCAGACGCTTATACATATGCATGTACGCTCATTCCTATGAACGCACGCACTTATATCCTACCCCTGTGAGCACCTGCGAGAGATTGAGTCGGCACATCATCTTAAGATTGATGAAGTCATCATAGATGCCTTCGTAGTCAATGGGAACGTCTTCTCTCACTGAATGCACATCGCCGGAAGGCCTGAAATAAATTCAGAAAAATGCGAGCACCAGTGTCAAGTCTCGGACTTGTACTCTGGTGGGCTAGAGATACCACTGTCCTCCTAACCATCAGACCACGGATTGGTTCACCCCATCCACATATAATTGATCATAACGCTTATGTCGTTCTTGACAGGCATTTGCCAGCCGTTTAGAATGTCTTTGGACTTTGGATAGGGAATTATAGAGAGGCATACATATGTTTATAAGCGTTTAGATCTAGAGCATCACCATCCATTCCCTCAAATCTCTGTAACACTCTATTTTTTCATTTGAGGAGTTAAGCACTATTGGGAGTTAAGTTTAGTCGGGAAGGATAGGTGAAAAAAACACTTAACTCATCACATTTTGAGGAGTTAAGTTTTGTTCTCCCCCCCCCCCCAACTAAGCATCCCTTCTCTCCATGGCTTGGCTCTTCCATTGGCTCTCCCTTTCCGGGCCTCTCTATCAGTCCTTCATCCTCTTGCACCTTACAAATATGGCCGTCCACTGCTCTCGGTGTCAAGGTGATTCCCAGTCCATCATACATCTAAGCCACATGGCAACCCGTAAGACTTGATCAGACATCGTTGAGCACTAGCTACATGAACATCGGGCGGCGGGTGAATATTTCCTCCTAAGACCAGTACTTGAACGTTTGCCTTACCATCATTTTGATTAAATTGAGTATCAAAATTATAAAAAGACCCTTCATCTAAACACCCCTCATTTTGCCCATAGTAACCATCAAAGTGGCTCAAAACACTTCTCACAACAAGTCCTAGGAAAACTTTCATGAAAAAATAAAGAAAAAAGCACTTTTCCCCATGAATAAACTACTTCCTCCGATCCACTTAATTGCCGCTGATTTAGTACAAAGTTGTACTAAATTTTACTAATTTGGATCGGATGGAATAATAATTTGGCTAACTCTTTTCTAAAGCCTCCAGGATCACTTGACCACTAAATTATCGTATCCCAAGCACGTTACACCTGGCCAGTTTTGTTTAAGCAAAAAAATGGTTCTCTTTATTATCATAGTTTAATAAATTTATGGGCACATGAAGTTTTGTCTAATAATATGACCATTCAGATCTGTGCAAAAAGAATCATAATGTTTTACACATAGATTTCATCCTCTAACTGAAATGTTGCTGATATTTTGTGAATCTTCTCTTGGCATGATTTTTTCATTCCAGAAACCTTCCAAGTAGTAATTTACTCTGAGATGTGATAGTTTAGGGTGTTACGTGAGATCACTAAATGTGAGCTAAAACCTATATATTGAGGGGATATCAGTTACACGTTAATTATGTGTATAGTGTAGATCTTGATATTTAATATGATGCTAATTGCATGCTAAACGAGTTGAGCGTTCGCCATTAGGTCACTGGATCGACGTAGTTTGATTGCCTAGATTTGTTGGATCTGCCCCTTTTGTTTTTTTCACATTGGTATAGATATAGAGATATAGAGATTTAGATGGATGCACGGTGCTTAATAGGAGAAACAAGCCTGCCCTTTCAGAAGTGTAGGAGATCTCCAATGGTTGGAAGTCCAAAGTAGCTTAATCAAATTAAACAAGGGCAAATGGGATTTGTAGAAATAAGAACAATGGTGGAACTCCTTCCTATGCATTTTATTTGTAAGGAAATTAAGGTGGGCATGCCAGACTACCCAATTGCAGGACTCTTAAATATGTGTTGCTCTAAATAATAATCGGCATACACATAGATAATACTTCATACTCATACATATTTAATGTATCATATATGATTTGCATAATTTCATAACTGTAATTAACAGATAGCAGATATATAGATTACCTTTACTATTATTACGTATGCGGACATGTTCATGTGCTAGTTAAGTTCCCACCACATATAAATTTCATAGACATCTAACCATCAGTTGAGTTAAATTGTATGTCTCAATAATATGTGAGACATAATATATGGTGACTAATTCAGAATTTGTTGCAAATATATAGCAGCAACCATCACAAAGGCATACACCATAATAATCAATGTAATTAACAGACTAATATGAGTAGAGTTTGGCTAGGCATTTTTACATGCTGATTTACAAATAGGACCCATATTTAGAGATTTGGAACCGGGGAATATGAGAATTGTAATATTGGTCGATTCTGATAAGCAGGCAACTATAAAATTAATACTTAACTTCATGGATTATGGTAATAGTTTACCATAAGAGCAAAGGAAGAGTCTAGGACTAGGAAACCAAAAATAAAATGCATGCATGCAATTAAGAGTTGATGCACTAGTTCTAGCTAGTGTGACGTGATCAGTCAAAACTCTACAAAGAGAGGAACATCGGAATACACTGATGAAACTAGTACAGATGGAATATATATACATACAAGTTCACTGAAAACAAATCAATCATACATTCATTTCATGCAAGTTTGCACTGAGCACAATCTAATAATTAACCAATCTCCAATCCCCAAGTAAATGGAAAAAAACGTACGTACTAGTATGACCATATATACCCATCATTTAAGTATATCCCTCCATATGTAAGTGTGAAAAGGTTTTTAAAGGTAAATAACACAATGGACACGTACTACTACCCTGGCAGACCAAATGGGTGCAAAAGTGTTACTAACCAATGCAAGGAGCAACTTTAACTTGAATCCCCTACCTTAGACCATCATGAGCTAGCAGCGCTTCTACAGTACTAGTACCAGATGAAGAATTAAAGCTTGAACCCCTTCTTTAATTTAGCACTCTCCTGCTCAAGCCATGCATGTGCATCTCTTCTAGCCATGCCGGCCGATTGTCCAAGAAACTGCGGTGTATACTACAACAGGCCGCCGCCGTCGCCACCGCCCGACGAGGAATGGAATCCGGGGATGTTCATGGTCCAGCTGCCACTGCCATTGCCGTTATTGTCGCTGGCGTTGCCACCCCAGACGCCATCCCCTTGGCGTAGAGCCTCCATCACGAACTGCCTCTGCAAGGTCATCTCTTGCCCTTTGCTGTCCGCCTGCTTCATTGACCCTTCGTCGCGCCTCGCTGTGCTTGCACTAGACTGCCCTAACGTGAACATCGCCGGCGACGGTGCCGGTGCCGCTGCGCTGCTCCCTGCTGCCCGATTAGCTTGCAGCCCCAGTTGGTACATGGGCGGCGCCGGTGGAAGTTCCAAGAACGGGAACTGCTGCTGCTGCTGCTGCTGCACCCGCCACTGCTCCAGTGACGCGCCAAAGGTGGCGCCCCCGCCGCTGGCCAGAGGGAACTGATCCACGCCGTCCATGTGGTGGTGGTGCTGCTGCATGGCGAGCTGCGGGAGGCCGGCGGAAAAGGCTAGCCCTAGGTTGGCCCCCGGCGGATGCATCGCGCCCATGAACGGCAGGTGGTGCGACATGGAGCTGAGACCCGGAGGGATGGATGCACCGTCGCACCCCAAGGTGGTGGACGCCGCGGTTGATGGCATAGATGACGCGCCACCGGGCAGCTGCCTGGCCGAAGAAGAAGATGGCTTGGAGGAGGACGCGGCGCCGGCGGATGACTTGGACGAGCGCTTGTTTCGGCGGCACCCACCCCCCACGGGGACGGACCGGAGGGCGCCCCCGCGCGTCCAGTAGCGGCGGCATGCCTTGCAGAAGTGGCGGGGCTGCGAGAGGGAGTAGTTGTTGTAGTAGCAGAACTTGGTGTTGGTGGAGTCGCACCGCGGGCACTTGAGCGCCGGCTCCGGCTGCGGCACCCGCGCCATCCGCGCGCGCTCCGTCATGGAATTTGGCCTCGCCTGCTGCCCGGCCGCGGCTTCATTGGCCGCTGAGCTTCTCGGCAACCCACCGACCTCGGGCGTCCCCGCCGCCGTACCCGCCGTCGGATCCACTGGCATATGCTGTGCATCGCCTACTCCGCCACCGCCCGTCGCCCTCTGCTGCTGACCTTGCTGTTAAGTACGCACACGTAAACATGTTATAGATCAGGAGAAGAAAGGAGGAGAGAATTGTCTGTGAATATTCAAGAGGAGAATATATATCTTCATGCTAAGCTACTTTAATTTTGCCAAATTCTCTTTCCATGAAGAAGCTGGCTATGGATGGACGGATCGCAGCTGGAGTGCTCTACAACGAGCGAGAATTGAAGGACAGGGAGAGGGAGGATCATGTAGTACCTGGTTATTCCAATTAGGCGGATCTAGGTATGCAGCCGCTGGAGGGAACACCATGGAAGCCAGTTAGTGTGGTGGATATATTTCCTCTCTCTCTCCCTTAACTCCAGCTTTTTTGCTGCTGAATTCAGATCTTTTCTCTAGAATTTGCACTTTTGCTTGTTGAGGATTTGTGTTTGCAAAGAAAAGGAAACAATCAGGGGAGAAGGAAGGGCGAGGTGGTGGAGTCCTCTACCTAGCTAGCAGGTGGTGGAGAATCACATCCAGCAGTCACAAGAGAGAAGACAGCAATGAGAGAGAGAGAAAGGAGGAGGGGGAGGAGAGAGAAGCTAGGAAAGAGAAAGGGCGGGGAAAAGCATGTATTTATCTTCTCCTTTTGTGCGTATGGTAGCTTTACATTTCTAGTTTTTGCTTTGTGGGGCTGGCAAGAATGTTTGAGAGAGAGAGATTAAAGTTGCCTTAACGTTTAAGGTTAATACCCCTTTCCCCCCGAAAAATAAAGATTAATACTCTTCCAGCATTGTGGAGATTGGTATGAAATGGTTAGGCTGGTCATAGTGGGGAGTAACTTGTACTAGTGCAATATATATGATACTAGTTTAAATTACTATCTATATAGTGCAAAGTACTCCCTTCATTTCTTTTTAATCCGTATATAAGGTTTGGTCAAAGTCAAGCTTTATAGAGTTTGACTAACTTTATATTAAAAAATATAAACATTCACAATATGAAATTAATATTATCAGATGCACAATGAAACGTATGTTCATACTATATAATTTTAGTATTGTAGATGTTCATATTTTTTATATAGACTTGGTCAAACTTTGTGCAGTTTGACTTTGACCAAATCTTATATGCAGAGTAAAAAGAAACAGAGGGAGTAACATAGTAATGGTGGCATAGATGACTTTATTTAATAATTTGTAGACTCATTTTGTCTTGGAAAGCGCTATGTTCAACATATTATGTTACCACTTCTCATTAACTACTCGTCACATAAGCAAAAAAAAATTGGAGCACGCTATGTTACTACTATTACTAGCCTAAAATTTCTCAGAGTGCCCTACTACTACTTGTACTAGCAGTAGTGTGGGGTAGGATCCACGCTAGTGCTAAATAGCCGTAGCCTAGGCTGTTGCCCTGCGCCACTACTATTCCTGCATATTTGATTTTCTTTATATTTATACTATATTTATACATCAATATACAGATTTTCATACAGTAGCAATGAAGAGGTTGTGAAAAAACACGGATTAGCAAACACTTTGAGTGATTTGACTTCCGAGGGTACAACAACCTTCGTATATGCACCCCAATGCAAATTGGATTTGATAGACATTGCCTCGACACTTGTGTGTCGTCCCAACATCATATCTTCCTACTAATTCAATTTGGTCACTTCGATCCATCCACTTTTATCTAATTCATGTTTCTTCTATGACGTCTGGATAATTAAGCTACCGTAATCCTCTACTAATGATGCCATGTCACTACGGTTACAGTTGATAAACTCGTGTTGACTCAATCCTCGTTCAAATTCAAATTTAAAATCGAGTCAAACTATAAAAGTTTTCAAATGTCAAAACTAAAATGTTCTAAATGTGGCATATAAATCATAAGTAGTAATGGTGGAGAAACCAATATTTTTAAAATGTATAAGTGCTAAAAAGTAATTAAAACAGTGGCTTTCACAATTAATTAAATGCCTTTTCTAGTTTATAAAATTTCACTATTTTATTTGGAGTACCAAACTTTTTGTGGCAGAGGTATAAATAGTAATGCTAATTTAGAAGCTAGTTTTGGATTTTATCTAAACAAAAATATATAGAAATTAAAATGGGAAAACAATAACAAAAATGAAAAAAGGGAAAAGGAGAAAGGATCCCTCCTGCCCCCGGGCCTTGCCATCGAATCGGCCCAACTAGCCCACCTACCTCCCTCCCCGTCCGCTTTCCCTGTACAAGCGACCGCACCCACGGTCGTCACCACGCCACCTCGCTGGCGATGCCAGGGGAGGGGATAGCGCCTCGACCCCTTGCTCCCACTCTCCCAACTCGCTCCCCTCGCCCTCTTGGCCTCCCTTCCCTTCCTTAGATCTGCCCCCTCGCCGAGCAGCCGACGCGCCCGTCGTCAACCACGATGCGACCCCCGCCTTCGTCGTCGTCCTCTCCGTCGCCCTTGTCGTTCTGCCTCGTCCCCGGGCCTTCTCGTCAACGCCCGTGAGCTTCCCTCGCTTCCCCCTCTTCCGTTTCCCCGAAGCACTGATACGTCTCCGTCGTATCTATAATATTTTATTATTCCAAGCCAATATTATACAACTTTCATATACTTTTGGCAATTTTTTATACTATTTTTGGGACTAACATATTGATTCAGTGCCCAGTGCTAGTTCCTGTTTGTTGCATGTTTTTTGTTTCGCAGAAAATCCATATCAAACGGAGTCCAAACAGGATAAAAATTTATAGAGATTTTTTTTGGAATATATGTGATTTTTGGGAAGAAGAATCAACGCGAGACGATGCCCGAGGGGGCCACGAGGCAGGGGGGCGCGCCCCAGGGGGTGGGCGCGCCCCTGACCCTCGTGGCCACCCCGTAAGGCAGTTGGTGCCCTTCTTTCGCCGCAAGAAAGCCAATATCCGGATACAAATCGTGTTAAAATTTCAGCCCAATCGGAGTTACGGATCTTCGGAAATATAAGAAACGGTGAAAGGCCAGAATCTAGAACGCAGAAACAAAGAGAGACAGAGAGACAGATCCAATCTCGGAGGGGCTCTCGCCCCTCTGCCGCCATGGAAGCCATGGACCGGGGGTAAACCCTTCTTTCATCTAGGGAGAAGGTCAAGGAAGAAGAAGGGGAACTCTCTCCCCCTCTCTCCTAGTGGTGCCGGAACACCGCCGGGGCCATCATCGTGTGACGGCGATCTACACCAACACCTCTGTCATCTTCACCAACATCTTCATCACCTTCCCCCATCTATCTACAGCGGTCCGCTCTCCCGCAACCCATTGTACCCTCTACTTGAACATGGTGCTTTATGCTTCATATTATTATCCAATGATGTGTTGCCATCCTATGATGTCTGAGTAGATTTTCGTTGTCCTATCGGCAATTGGTGAATTGCTATGACTGGTTTAATTGCTTGTGGTTATGTTGTTGTCCTTTGGTGCCCATCATCTGAGCACGCATGTGGATCACACCATAGGGCTAGTTGTATGTTGATAGGACTATGTATTGGAGGGCAAGAGTGACAAAATCTTCAACCTAGCATAGAAATTGATGCATACGGGATTGAAGGGGGACCAATATATCTTAATGCTATGGTTGGGTTTTACCTTAATGAACGTTAGTAGTTGCGGATGCTTGCTAATAGTTCCAATCATAAGTGCATAGAATTCCAAGTCAGGGATGACATGCTAGCATTGGCCTCTCCCACATAAAACTTGCTATCGGTTTAGTAACGTAGTCAGTTGCTTAGGGACAATTTCGCAACTCCTACCACCACTTTTCCATACTCGCTATACTAACTTTATTGCTTCTTTACCTAAAAGAGCCCCTAGTTTCTATTTACGCGCTCTTTATTATCTTGCAAACCTGTTGCACCTGCAAAGTACTTCTAGTTTTATACTTGTTCTAAGTAAAGCGAACGTCAAGCGTGCCTAGAGTTGTATCGGTGGTCGATAAAACTTGAGTGAATATTTGTTCTACCTTTAGCTCCTCGTTGGGTTCGACACTCTTACTTATCAAAAGAGGCTACAATTGATCCCCTATATTTGTGGGTTATCAAGCATGATGCCGATGCCCCGCGCCTGCCGTTGCAGCTCCTGCTCCTGCCGCTGATGTCTTCCCCCTCTCCGGTTGCCGCTGCTGCCTCCTACCCCTACTGTTGCTCGTCATCCCCGTAGCCGTCAGCCGCGCCGGCAGCCCCCCCGGCGCCTGCCCCGTGCCAGCCACTGCTGCCTGCTTTTGAGACCAGTGCGCGCCCGTCGCCCCATGCCCTGCCACGTCGTCCGCCGTGCGGCCACGCGCGCTCGGCGCACCCCACCCTAGCCACGCTTGTCCCCGCCTCAGGCCACTCGCTGGCTGCGGCCTCGCGCCCTTGTGCGCAACCCTGTGCGTGTCCGATGCAGCCTCTCTCCACGGCCGCTCGCGTCCATGCCCCGCACGCCCCGCCTCGCCTCGCTCCCCCTCGCGCTGCTTGCTGTCGTGCGCCACCGCCGCTGCATGCCGCCGACCCGCTTGATTCCGGCCACACCACGACCACCCGTTGACATCATGATGATGTCATGCTATCACAATAAGTCCATTTTTAATTAAAAATAATTGCATAAAAACTTTGGAAAATAGTAGAAAAATATCCACAACTCGGATGAAAATGTTTTCTACATGAAAGTTGCTCAGAAAGATGGGAAGAACCCGAATACGCAGTCTGTTCGTCTGCCACACGCCCCTAGCATAGCGAACGTGGAACCATCCCCCTCTGTTTCATCAGTCCAGAAACTGCAAACTTTAGGAAAACATTCCCGGATGTTATCCCCCTTCGCCAGTATCGTGTAGCACCGCGTTAGGAGACCCCTAGCACCGCGTATTGCCATGTTATGCTTTCTATTACTCTGTGTGCTTGTATGTACTATTTCTTCCCCCTCTTCTCTCCGGTAGACCCCGAGACCGATGCTACCTCTATGATCGACTGCGTCGACGACGACTCTTCTTCCTTTTCAACAGAGCTTCCAGGCAAGCAAACCCCCCTTGATTATTCCGATATCGCTCATTCCATCCTCTCTCATGCTTGCATTAGATTTTCTATTGTACTTGGTTGCTCCTATTATGATGCATAGCCTGCTTTTGTAACCTACTCACTGTACCTTACCTGCTTATCCTAAACTTCTTAGTATAGGTTGGTAGTGATCCATCAGTGACCCCTCACCTTGTCCCAGTTGCCTAGGCTTGTTGACCGATGACTCGATCGACGTGATCGACGACCAGAGCCCGACACATCACATCGCCCCCTTAGTTGCTCGGCTTTGCAAAGCTACTATGGAGTGCTGAGGGTGAT